AATAAAGCAAAGTGCTGCAGACCCTACCCGTTTGATTGTGATTGTCCTTGAACCTCGCTCTTATGCCAGCCCCCGACCATCGCAGAGTTCTGGTTTGGGCCGCGAGTAGGATTAGGTTGTAAGCATGAGCTCTCACGGAAAACACCATAGATCCGTGAAAGAGCGGGGAAAATCTAGGCCCTTCCCCAGAGAGTTTGCTTTTCGCGGCAGACTGTAAGGCTTTGAGAAAATGACTTTTAGCAACGTCATGCAACGTGGGAGAACCATGTCCCTTCTTCTGCAGGGGCTCAAAGTGTACATCACCCCGAACACCACTCCTGATCGAAATTTCTTCAAGGGCATCCTGGAGATGGGTGGCGGCGAGGTGCGTCCTGTTCCTTGCTTGTGTTAGATTGTGAAAAGGCGTCAGTCTTGGTTCGATTTAGGTTCTTTTCTAAATGAGTCGCACGCAGCTGGGTTATTTCGGATGTCACAGCAAGGCTCCTTTGAGGAAAGTAACTCCTGGGGCTTCTTATACATAAGTACTTTGAGAAAACTATCTCCTGGGGCTTCTTGTATTGAAGTACTCTGAACTCATCGAACTCAAAAGCAGTGCCGGAGCACCACGTGGCCAACGTCCTCTGCAAATCAGTTCAACGTCACGCCAACCAGATCTTGTATCAACCACAGAGCGCTTCAATGCATGCCTCGGTCCACTGACTTATTCCTGTGTTTGGTCACTGTTCCAATCAATGCAGCCAGCTTTTTGCAACTCCCCTTTCCCGCTTCGCCAGTCTTTGGCTCCACGAGTTATACGTATGTGTCTGCTGGCCTCACAAACGCACGTCGACCGTTCACCTAACGTCTAGGTGCGCAAAAGAGAGCGCAAGCTCCGAAGCAGTGCTTCCTTCCGCTTACAGCACCAGCCTCTCGTTGTCTCGCAGCTCATAACGCGGTTCACAGGGGCCGGGGCCGACTCCTGCCTCGTCGTGTCCTCTGACAAAGACCGAAACCTGTGGGAGCCGCTCGCAACCAAAGGTGACCCTCTACTTGATACAAGCGTCTTTACGGCAGGCAGGCTCCAATACGCCGTTCCTTGAGAGCGTCTACCGTCGAATCTGGGCGAAGTCGAATTTGATGAGAAAAGTTTCGTGAGGTTTGCTTGTTTGGCTTTCATCTTTGGACTTCAGGTCTGGTAGGCTCGATATTTGATTGTTCAGCTTGTGAGGTTGGGTTCCTTTCGTCAGAGTCTGCTCAGGGGACGTTTTGGCTTTGAAGAGTCGTTGCTTGCCTGTTGTTCGGTAGATTTTCGGATAAGCTGGACGGACGGCTCTGGCTCATTGAACTGTGACGCTCCATGCAACTAATGTGATGTGTGCGCTGCTGCTCCTTTCTCGGTGCCTGGCTCGTCAATTGGGAACGGCTAAAAAGGCCGGGCTGCTGCATATTATGCAATTCCCTAAGGCTGTGGTCCAGCCTGATTTATCTGATTCACCTCTAAACCTTGTGAGAAGGCTGAGTGCATTTTGAAGTTCTCTCTTGTTGTTCCTTATACTGCATCGGGCCGGCTTCCAGTGGTCAGTCAATCCCCATATTGTGTCCTTTTTAACCAGATTACATACTTGGAAAGAAGATCCGTTACGTGAATACAGCAACGTAATGGAGCGATTTTGAAAACCTCTCTTCTATGTTTTTGAGGCATCGAGCGTTTAAGACGAAAGGGCAGTGATGCAGATTTGCCACGGTCGATACAGCCAAGGGTTGGTCTTTGTGGTCTGATTTCTCTGAGCCATAAGTTTTAGGTCGGTAGATCGCGTCTGGCCATATCTTTACGATCTGATCTTTGGTGCCATCGGTCTGTTGTAAGGACATAATGACGACACTGGCCAGTTGCAAGTTTGTTACGATGCATTTCCCTGCGCATGACTCCCTCGTTTTCTGAAGCTCTGACAAGCTCGTCCACAGTGCCGGAAGAGTTGGTGCCTTTTTAGAAAGCTCCTACTAGACCCACCTGCTGAAGTTTTGCACTGGTTTCAATCTGCAAAATCTGCTGAGTACTGGGAATGTTGGAGATCCAGGGAATCATCGAGACGTTGCGAGGAGATGGGTTGTGCAGCGTAGTAGAAACTTTTGAAGCGGAGGTTCTGATAGCATTCTCGTGGGCAATGATCACTGGTGACGTTGGCTGCAGACGATTGCCAGACGCAGGTTGGGAGTTCGTTGATTGCCCGTCAGAAGCTGAGGTTTTGTGTGCTTAGTCCTGACTTTCTTTTCGTCATGGGTAATGGCTAAAACCCTAGTTTCCGATACTTCATTCACAGTCTTTCTCCGATGCTTTGCCATGTTTCGGGATAATATTGTCATGACTTGTTGTCCGAAGGGGATTTATCATCCTAGGGGGAATTGTTGCACCTTACCCATCGTAAAATGTTTCAGGGCAAGGATGATACCTCGTGATGGCGAGAAGCCGCCAGGATTGAGGTCTGCACGATGCCTGCCCTCCCAGAATCTGTGGTTGTCCAGGACTTTCCATGCATACTTCAAGCGGTTCCCGCATGAGGTCAATACCGAGCGGGGTTTCTTGGCTCTAGTCTAGCTAGTCTGATTGCCTCTGTAAGCTTTCCAGCTCCTGTGAAAATCGAAGCACGTTTTGTCCTTTGAGTGAAAAGGCACGGGGCGGCTGGCATGCTGAAGTGCAAGCTCCGATGGCAGTGCAACACCTGGAATGGTTCTCTTTGATGCCGAGTAGCTCTTTCGCTATCAAGTTTAATGGTGGTTCTGTGTTCTGCCCAAAGTAACCATGATATAAGGTTGCAATGACTTCTGGTTTGCCCGTGCCTTGGCAGCAGGATGATCATCCGCGATCAACTTCTGATTTTCTGAATCACAAGCAGTACAGAAGGGGCCACGATGAGTCAAAAATTTGTTGGTCGTCCTGGGGGCCACGAACTGACTCTCTTTGAAACTGATTGCCTCCTTTAAGAGAGGCTCCATTACATCTTTTGCTCATGATGCCAGCCTCTTGCTTGGTTGCGATATTTAACGCCACTGCCGATAAGAACGGCTGGAGATGCCTCCCTCCCGTTGCTGGCCAGCGTGAAGTTCTCAAAGAGTCGTTGCCGCTGAAGGCGGGCCTTCGGTATTATCTGCTCTGTTCTGCGAGTCATGAGTGGGTTACGAATGAACACTGGCTGCACTAACAAAAGCGGTTTGTGGTTCTCCGAGACCTGGGCAAGGACGATGGGAACAGCTGGCCCATTCTGATTGGTCACCTTTGGTCCGTTCGCGGACGGCCCTTTGCAATGTCAGAAAGTTGATGCCGACCATAATAATTTGCACGTTTCTTGGCATCCCCAGTGGCAGGTGCCACTTCTATCCTGATTGTTGGGCTAGGACCGTAATCATGCTGCAAGTCCGTCACTTTCTAAAATGGACTGAAAGCTCGAGCGATCTGAGCAGGCTGCTTTGCGAGTAGAGAGCGCTCCTGCGAGCACGCTCGGAGCTGATTCGCTCACCGTATTATGTGGCGAACCGAGGACTTTCTGCAAAGTGATTGTCATGTAGCAACCCTGATTCAAGCGAAGCTCTGATGAGCACGTTTCCCGATTCGAAGCTCGATTATGCTATACCTCGGTTGCTCCCCTTTATGGTTGGAGGGAAACCTAGAGGCTTTACTCAAAGCTTCTGAAATTTCTCTTTGAGAAGGGGAACCTTCTTGTATGCTTCAACGTCTATTTCAGAAGTTGGCGATCCCTTGAAGTGGGGCACTCAACTGAACCCGTAAGTGATCCTCGCTTCTTTTGCAGGGACGCCAATCTACACGACGGAGTTTCTGATGAGTGCAGTAGTCCAACAGCAGCTGGACACGAGCCGGTAAGTCCGACACGTTGCTAGACTCCGCTTGTCTTCGTCTTTCGTCTTTCGTCCTTTGTTACTCTTTCTCTTCGCCCTATCTCCACGACCAAGTGCTTACTAAGCTTCCTAATCACCACCAACTGGGAAGACGAGCAACCGGGGGACTTTTTGTAGGCAACGCTAAAAGCTACTGGTCATTGAGCTGGTTTCCTGTTTGACTTCACTTTCAGAAAACAAGACGTCAGTGTATTTGGGGAAGAGACGATCACCAAACCGCCGTCGTAGTAGAGCGGTGCTAAAATCTTGAGATCCGGGCGCCGTCAGGGGCTGGGGCAATCATTTCAAGCTTGCCCGCAAGAAAATAAAGTAGAAAACGAACTTTGATGAGCTCACGCCAATATCGGACGCTCACATCGCTGACCAACTCACCGCGTTCAGACGTGTCGCTCGCAAGCAACGAGAAGTGGAACTGATGCCGAGTGCGGTGCGCTGCAGGAACCTATTGAGTGGCGGCGGGGGCGCCGCGCACCAAACCGGAGCGGCAAGAGTGAGAGGGGGAGGAAAAACGAAGCCGCAGAGGAAAGGGGCAGCCTGGCGGTAACCTGCTTCTGAAGTGCTAAAGTTGCAGAGTAAACAAACGGTTCGATTGCTGGTTGACGAACCCCATTAAGGAAGACTCGTCCGTTGCAGTTACTGTGGTATACCTGAAGGTTGCGGGGAGTGCCGAGGTTATTGATGGTTCTTTCTCCTCACCTGTTCAGTACTTTCCGCCCTAGTTCGCTGTTGTGATATCACACCGCACATGTCTGCTATGTCCTTTCCGTGGCCACTCGATATTGTGGAAGCCAAGCTGCAACTGTGTGCATCTTGTTGTCTTTCTGAAGGAAGGGCAGTTACTCGCTCCACCAACCTCTTACTCTTCCCTCAATGTAATTTGAAGAGGCAAGAGCAGTCATGGACTGCATTACAAAGCTTCTGCAAACCCAGTCGCTCTTTCTTATAGACAGGGTTCATTCTTGATTGCTTTCCCCATTCCGACTCTGTGTCAAAGCCGGACAGCCTGGACGCAACATGAAGCTCGCATAGCTTAAGCATTTGGTACTTCAATGCGTTTCAATCTTAAATCCTCAACAATTGAGGCAAGCGAGTTGCTTACGTCCTGCGCACTGGAAGGGCAAGGATGGAACCAATCTGGCGGAGATCGCCATTATTTAACTCCCTCCTGAGTGCATTTCGCACCACCAATAAATACCAACTGTATATCCCCAGGCTGTCTAAAGTTCGATGCAATTTTTAAGAGAAGTTTTCGTGGTCGTCGATTTCAGCGTTCTTCTTGCTACTGTTAACCATGTTACGAGCTTTCCCCGATTGGTGGAGTTTGATCGATTCCATTTTGCGAGGACTTATTGCTGGAATCTGAGGTTTTATTCCCACATTTGTGAAACTATATCCACAGCCTTGAAATCCGTGTTAGCGGCAGCGGCCTGCGTTCGCGATTGAACGGCAATGATGTTTAGCCGAGGCTTGGCGCACAATTGCCAATGCCAGGATGTTATTTTCCTGAAAGCCGCAGGGGTCCGTTTTGTTGTTGGCCGATTTGGTAACTCCTCGGAGCCAGGTCGGCTCTGGCTACTGACGAAAGGTTGAGTTCCCTTTCAGTTACGAAAAGCAAAAAGTTGGCTTCGGGTTCAGTAACATCAAAGATTCATTAGCACTTGCCACATGTCTCATTACAAATTGGCAAGGATGGCCCGCGAGCATGGCGCTACTTGTCAAAGCGACTTGATATGATTGAATGCCTCGTGAGCACCCGTTTCGCCTGGAGATGACATAAAGGTCAGCTTCAGGGTTTCGGCGGGCTTGCTTGTTTACAAACCTAGCTTAAGAGGTTGTTTTGGACACTCGCATACGTGCCAGTGAACGTCGGATTCCCTGTTCCTGACTGCGTCCGATCTTAGGCTGGCGTGTACGTTCGTTTCTCTCGTTGCGTCTACAGTCGTCAATAACCTTTCACTCATGACCTTTGCATATCAAGCCTTCTCGAAGAAGGGCAGTGATAAGCAATGCACGTTTGGCCACAGCGGTCATTGATGTACGAAGCTATCCTGATGCCTTCCGGTGAACTGTGCTTTGTCTGCAATTGTTCTACTCGTTGAATGGGTGCGGTTCATTTCTACCTAAGCAAACCAAGCAATGGCGATCTTATGAGGTACGGAAATTTTCCTGCCTTTGCTCAAGGTCACCCTATAAATTGCGTGCACAGCACCTTTTTGGCTGAACCCTTCGACCATCCCCTTGCCCGGCCTGCTGCCTCACGTTCCACTGAGCTTGTCTGTCTTTGTTAGAAGAGCTTTTTTGTCCGCCGAGGTATTTTCAGTCTGCTACCGTGCTTTGAATCGTGCGCCGTGTTTAGCTTGTAAAGATGCCACGTAGCAACGCAACAATCTCTTTGAACAAATTCCCGATGCGGTTGCTATAAAAGCACAACAAATGCTTGCGCACATAGGCCGCAAAGTTCTTTGGCCAAAGCTTGTCGAACTTGCGAAGAGTTCACAAGTGGTTGCCATTTGACGGATTATCTGTGCGCAAGAATCTGGGTCATCTGCTGTGAGGGGTGAAAGAAGAGAAGAAGATTTGGATTTTAAGATGCGGTCGTGTCACCGCTGTATATGGCTCCACGACCAGCGGTACTTAAGTTGACTGCCACACTCTCCCACGTCCAATGCACGGCATTGTTATGTTGCCCTTCGGCCAGCATTACGAGGGACCTCTGGAGCTTGACATCGGCTGACTGTCCTTGCCAATTGACAGTTCTTTGCATCAAACCGGCTCTTTCAGGATTTTATAAGGACTTTATAACCAGAGGATGTTGGGGATGACGCGCTGAGGTCACCCATGGGAAAGAGCTGAACAAGCAAGGTCCGACCGTCAGTTGCGAAGATCCGGCTGGGCTCACACGTTGATCGCTGTATCTGAGGATGTTAGCTTTGTCTCTGAGAGACGGTTTCGAATTACTGAATGACTTTTTTTCAAGGGGCCAGCAGGATCCCGGTTCAAGTCCGCTATCGTTTTTCCATCGTCTTGAGCTTTTAAATTGCAAGTGGATCCCATCGCCGCTTCTAGCTGATACTGTAAGCAGAGCACGCCTGTCTTCGGAATGTCCGACCGAACCGTTGAAGAAGATCACGGACAATCTAGCGGCTCGGAGATTCTGCAGACCGTGGCGATCCACGGGTTCCTGCTTCGCTTGAGCATGTGATTGGTGAGCCCTGCTTCTCCGATGAAGTTCCTACAGGGCCGAAGCGGGCTGATCGGTCTTGAATATGCTTGCGTATCTGTTGGGCAATGATGTCATCCTTCTGCTGACTCTAAGCGGAGTAGAACTTTGCAAGGTTTGATTGCCCTCATTCGACCAAGTAAAGACAAACTCCGTCCCCCTCTCCGACAGACAGCCTTCATCCGTACCGTTTTGCCTGTCATAAACTTGTTTTTCAACCCCCAGTTCGGATGCCGAAAGTCAAAACAGATGTAGACGGGCTTTTGACTTTTTCTTCTTAGACAGCAACAAACACCCTGTTTTCGATTTGATTCTTCAATCTCGCTCCTAATGGCAAGGATGCACAAGTAGGCGCAGATTGCCAGGGCCAGCCTTCGCGCCGCCTCCTGAGCGCCTTTCGCAACACCTAGATTAATCCATTGTAGCCCTCGTCCTTGAGTACGAATGCATTTTGGGTATTGGTTGCTCGTGGTCTTCAAAAGACGAGAATGTCTGCCCCCCACCTTCCTGACTTTGTTGCGCACGATCTCTGACGACGAGTGAAGTTTGACAATGCAAGTATGCGTGAGAACCCGTCACTCAAACCGAAGGTCGTTTGACTCCTCCGCGAGTCCATGATCATCAAAAAGTCCTATTTGAATGGTTGCGGAAGCTCCTTGAATTCGTCACTCTATGACGATCGGCGATGATGTCTCGTAACTTGCATGGCCGGCGAACAGCTCGTCAGTGGCAGGTACATCAATGAAAGCTGCAGAAAAGAGTCTAAAGTTTCGGGTTAAGTGTTTTAGGCCCAAAGGGTGACTCAAGGCGATGATTAACAACGAAACCCAGTCTTGTTGGGTCTGGCTCAGTAATGTTGTCGAAAAGGTATGCTAAACGTGCCACGTGTCCCAATATTGATTCTGCTGATCGTCCAGTAGCTTGGCGAACAGCTCGTCAATCGCAGCTAGATCCTTGAAAGCCGCAAAAAAACAGCCCTTCTGCTTTGGTTTTTTGTCGCTCGGATCCATAGATCGACACAAGGTGGTGACAAGCCGTCAAATCAGTTTTCAGTCTCGTTAGGTTCGACTAGGTATGCCAAAAACGTGCCACGTGTCCCAACGATGACTTTGTGTCTGGCAAGGATGGCCCACGAGCACGGCGCTAGTTGCCAGAGGTGATCGGCCAGTTTTGATTGTACTTAGCAGAAAGTCACGTACAAACCTTGTCTTTAAGCGTGTGGTCGGCTCGCTGTACAGCTTGTAGAAGAACCGCAGAGTATCCAAGTCAGATCTACCTATCCCTACTGCGTTTGCTTCACTGGCCGACGCACTTTCTCTGACCTTTGCTTGCATCTATAGTTGGACTCGTGTCCGCGTCGGCCATCCGTCCCTTCTGCAGCCGCCACCACATTGAAAATGTTTTTTGTTCTCGGATTTAGTGCTCTGCCGCGTCCTCCTCCCCGGCGGACAGACTCCGTCTCTGCCATGTTCCCATGTTGCTTATGACGGTCGTTGTCTGGAATCTCAAGCTTCCTGTTCCAGTTGAAAACTGCAACTGGCAGAGGAGGCTATCCTTTGGAGCAGCCGACGACTTGCTATGCTTCAGCTTTCTGTTTGTAAGACAAAGTGGACCAGACTTCCAGGTATTGTTCCTTGGAACGGCAAATGGAAAACCAAGTCCGGCGCAGATCGCCACGCTTGTTGAACGTATTCTGAGAGCCTCGTAGCCCCACGGTTGCCGATTGGGACTCCCGTCGTGAAGTGTATCTCTTTCATCCGCCATAATATGTTGATACGCCCCAGGCAGCGGGACTTGTTCTCGCCACTGAAGTCTGGACGTCGGAGCATTCTTTTTTTTCAATCCTCACTAGCGCCTTTCAATCAGCTGACCTGCGTGGACTCGAGAGGGGGTGGTCACATCTGGTGATTGAGTAAGGCCGTGCCGACTGCGAGTGGCCACTTTTGCGCTGCGCCGCACGCAGGCGACCGATGGCCACGTAGCGGAATTTCCAGCATCTTTGGGGCATCGCTGTAGCAGCACCACTTCGATTTGTGGCTGGCTCAAAGTTTCCTGGCTGTGTTATGACCTTTCCCCTGATCAATCCCGCGTTCACGAGGATTTGTTGCTCGAACTTGAAGGCTCCTTGCCTACTTTGCCAATCCAGATACAACCATCAAGTCCGTACTGAGAACGGTAGCAGCAACTCTACTCTAGGCGTCGGACGAATGGCAATGATGTTCAGGAGTTTGGCAACGAGATTGCCAGTGCTCACGTAGTCGAGCGTCTTGGTTTGCAGTAACAAGCAGTTTTGTCGTCGGCCAATTTGCATGGCCCTTCGTTCCTGAGGTCGGATTTCTAATGTGCCCACTCCGTCCTACTTACATTAAAAGGGCTCCTTAGTTCAAGCAACATCCTGAAAATTCTGTACGCGCTTGCCACGTGCCCCATTTCGTTTTGGCAATGATGGCCCATAAGCAGTCATAGCGCAACTAGCCGTACATGTTCTCTGACGGTCCTGATTGCCTCGTCGGCAGGCCCGATATTTTTATCGATAAGCGCTTAAAAAGTTCGGCGTCAAGCGTGTTGCCGGC